TGTCACATCTTAGTTGCCCTTCTCTAGGAACAGGGAGAATCCCACTAAAGATCACCTGAGCCTCAATTTCCTTGAGCATCCTCCCCAGCCTAGCATAGTCTCCCTTAATTGGTTCCAGCGAGAATCTAGCCGTATCATTTGTTCTTACATGAAGGATGATCAATGGATTCCTTCCTGCTCCCTTAATAATCCTCTTCAACCTCAGATCCACATCCCGTATCTTAGCACCAGGCAGACAGCACACCCTTCTATTCTCTGGATCAGCTCTGGTTACAGGCCTATCTATTCTTCTCAATAAGGAGTCCCCAATCATATAGACCTGCCTTTTCCTAGTGACAGTGCGATTCTCTGGTCTATCTCTAGCTTCCTCTGGCTGCAAGTCCTTGCCATTCCTATTTTCCCTTGTAATCCTCTTTAACTCATCCTGTATCCTCCTAATGCTTATTATTGGTGTTTCCATTAAGTCTTCCCCTTTACCTATGGGACTAGCCACTCTTCTCTTCTTCCTTACCCTTCCATCTTCATTATCTACCTGCTGTACCCCTTCTTCATTCTCCAGCTCCACATACCTGTTCTTGAGCTCTATTTTTCCTTCACTGACCCATCTTTTCCTCTGCCTGGTTCTCTGAGTCACATGCTTCCACTGTCCATTTTCTTCGCTCAGCATCCCCGCTCTGAGGCCCTTGATCTTGCTTCCATCTGCATATTTAAGCTTTCCCCTTCAGCCACGTCATGCTTTGCCCCATCATCTGCTCAAACCCCCTTCTAAACTCGACCAGAGTTTCCACCTGCATCTCCAGTCCTCGGATCTTTTCTTCCATCAGCTCTATCAGGCGGCACTTCATGCAAACAAGACTCCTTTCAGGTACCCCCTCCAGAATCATGTATATACCTCAGCTATCACATCCAATCATCCTCCTTGTGTTCTCTGCTACTTGGGCCATGGCCACTACTGCCTCTGCGTTTTATCTACTTTCTCACCAAAATCCTATTAGTCCGGTGAACACAAAAACAGACCAAAACACCCTCTCCACAGCAAAAACAAACCAAGTCCCACAATCCAAACTCCCTTTACAAACTCCCACTCAAACTCCCCTGTTTACAGCTCTGTTTGCTTGGCTCCTGTGCCGCTGCAGCTTTTGAGGATCTCGGCAGAAGTGATTTTTTACTCAATAGTCAAGCCAGAAATAGAAACCAGAAGTCCTGAAGCAATCCCTAGCTCTAACCACTAGATCACACTGCCTCCCCGCTGACCCAGATAAAAGGTAGAAAGAGACACGATACGATACATACACACCAAACCCAGAAAGATTGCCCCACACAAATAACATTGCCCAGTGTGGCAAATTACTTTCACTGCCATTATTAGTCACTGAAAGTTCCCACAGGAATCTTCCAGTTCGTAGCCATGCTATGGACGTTCCCCTAACAGCTGAGTTTACCGTACCAAGATGCTGTAGAAGAGTTCATGTACAAAGAGTCCCAGGATGCTGGTCACAATGTAGGCCACGTGATAGAGAAACTCCATATCCATGATCATGGCCTTGTAGCCCCGGATAAATGTCCCCCGGTTGCCCACGAAGCTCACCACGAACACAATCTTGTTGGTCAGCTAGGGAAGAGTCACAAGGAAGCAGTGTGTGTGAGTGCCGGGTTTTAATCCAGTTTGGCTTTGTGAACTCAATGTACCACGACGCCAGAGGGTGAACGCTCTCCCAGTTACAGCGCTGCAAATCCACTGACTTCCTGTGCGTGCCAATGAGTGCAGGGCTCAGTCCAGACACCCAGTGGCCACTGATGTTGATTCCTGGGAGCCCAACTCAGCATACACTGAGTCTGGGTTTTAGGGGCGCTTCACTCACCGTCCGCAGGTAACTTACATTGAGAGCTCCCAGGATGTTCAGCGTGAGCCCAATCCCTAGGTAATAGATTGATCGCAGGATCAATGCCACAAGGAGCGGCCTGATGCCATAGCGCCGGGTAAACATGGCCATGACGGAGAAGCAGATCAGAAACCAGAAAAGCAGGGATATCAAGGGAGAATCCAGCACTCCTGGGAACAAAATGGACACCATAGTGCATGAAAATCAACCAACCAACCAACTGATCACACTTTGTGTCAGTCCGTAGCATACATCTGAGAGTTTGAGGGTTTCCATTCAAACCTAGAGAGCCTATTAAAAGAAACAGAAAAGAAACATCCCTAGATACAAAGCATAACACAGAAGATGGCCCTTAACATTCATTTGGACTGTGTCTACACTGCAGGCTTCTTGTGCAAGAACTTTTTGCACAAGAGTTCTTGCACAAAAGTTCTTGCGCAAAAGCACATCCACACTGCCACATGCTTTTGTGCAAGAGCATCCATGGCAGTGCGGATGCCCTCTTGCGCAAGAAAGCTCTGATGGCCATTTTAACCATAGTGGTTTCTTGTGCAAGGAACTCGTGTTGCCTGTCCACACATGCCTTTTTGCACAAGAGCTCTTGCGCAAAAAGGCTTATTCCTTGTAGAAAGAGGAATAACACTTGCGCAAAAAGCCCTGTGTTCTTACGATGTATTGTACTTTTTCTTGCGCAAGAACGCGCTTGTAGTGTGGACGCTCTGCAAGTTTTTGAGCAAAAAATGGCCATTTTTGCACAAAAACTCCGCAGTGTAGACATAGCCTAAATGTATTATTGTATTATTCAGACACCTTTTCTAGCACCTTTCATCTGAGATCTCAGAGCTCTTTAAAAAGGCCAGTCATTTAAGCTTCACAACACAAGAGGTGTGTCATTTGTATCTCCTTTTTATAAACCAGGAGAGTGAAGCACCAAGAGAAGCAAGTTTTGCAAGGACACTAAACAAGTTTGTGCCAGAGTCAAAACAGAATGCAGGAGTCCTGGCTCTCCATCCCCTGCTCTCCCTCCCTCTCAAGGGCTACGTCTACATTGGCATCCCTTTCCGAAAAAGGGATGCTAATGAGACGGGTCGCAATTGCAAATTCCGCAGGGGATTTAAATATCCCCCGCGGCATTTGCATTTAGACATGGCTGCCGCTTTTTTCCGGCTTGGGGATAAGCCAGAGAAAAGCGCCAGTCTAGACGTGATTCTCCGGAAAATAAGCCCTTCCTAGGAATAAGAGATCCTCCGGAAAAGGGCTTATTTTCCGGAGAATCACGTCTAGACTGGCGCTTTTCTCCGGATTATCCCCAAACCGGAAAAAAGCGGCATGTAAATGCAAATGCTGCGGGGGATATTTAAATCCCCCGCGGAATTTGCAATTCCGAAGTCTACATTAGCATCCCTTTTCCGGAAAGGGGTGCCAATGTAGACACAGCCAGGGTGTGTCTACACTGTGATTTAAAACTGCAACAGCGAGTCTCAGGGCTTGGGTCTACAGACCCATGGTACAGTGCTAAAAACAGCAGTGCGGCATTGCGGCTCAGACGGGACTCGGGCTCTACGACCCTCCCCTTGCCTGGCTACACTCTTGTTTTTAGAGCCATCGCATGAGTATAGGTTCTCCGAGGCTCTGAGACTTATCGCTGCAGGTTTTAAAATGCAACAGGCTTTAGAGGGTGAAGAGGAAATTGGTTTTAGGAAATAGAGGAAGAGGCTCAGCAGCTTTGGCGGAGAATGGGGCTGGCTAGATTGTATCTCCCAAGGGACCACCAAGTGTCAGTTCTCTCCTTGGATGGGGACACCCTTCCCCTTTGTCGCTAAGAAGTGGATGGAGCACTTACCCATAGAGGTGGCTTCGACGTATGGGTAAAAGAAAGCAATGATTATGTTGATGAATACAGCCAGGTTGAAGGAAATGCTTCCCCAGAGAGTCATTCTGCGGGAGAACCAGTACATCAGCGGCATGCCTAGGAAGAGGAAGGTCGGAGGTGAGACAGCGCAGTACTCTCCAGCTGTTCCTGTGCAACTTGGACATGGATCATAACTTTCCCCAGAGACTTAAGCTCAATTCAACACGGACTTGGACTGATCTCCCATTTCCTCAAACCAAGAGCCAAAGCCCCAGTGTTTGGCTGCAATGGGGTGATGAGTTCAAAATGTTCCCGCTCATAGTTCATGGCCCCTCAGCCCTTTGACCCGCTCTGTTACTTGAGAATCAGCTCCAGTGTCACACCCCTTGGGCCTCTCTCTCGCTACTTCCTACATCCTGGCCATCTGCGAGTTGCAGAAACGATGCCTGTGCTCTGCTGGCATCAGTTCTCTGTCCCAAGGGAGTCCCAGACAGCCTGCACTGCCAGCCACTTCCTATCCCAAAACTCGCTTCCTGTCTAATCACTGACAGCATTCTGCTTGGATTTGCAAGTGTTTCCACTGCTACTACAAAAAAAACCTGAGTTGTCCTGTAGCATCGTACAGACTTAACAAAATTATACATATAGTATCATGAGCTTTCGTGGCAAAACCCACTTCCTCAGATCAGTTTTGCCCACGAAAGCTCATGATAGACAGACAGACAGACACACAGACACACACAGGGCAAGGACCAGGATGTCACTCTGGGTCTGGGATCTGATAGGGAGCCAAACAGAGTGTCCCGACAACCCATAAACAGTAACAGCAGCTTTGGCTGGCACTTTTGAGTTCATCTAATCCCAGCTGCCCACTCAGCTGCTTAAAAAGAGGACAACCCGTTTACCATTTCACGCACCCTTCTTCCTTGTGTATCTGCCCAGGGAATTGTCCTTTTACACTCTGTTTCCTTTAAGCCCATATTTTCAAACTTTGTGCCTGCCTTTGGCTATCTAACCTGAGACTCCCAGAGCCTGATTTTTAGAGATGTTGACAGCCCATTGCTCCAGTTGCTTTTCTGGGTTTTTAACATCTCTGCACATCACGGCTGGGGAGCTGAGGCTCGGCACACTAAAACAGAGGTCCCCATGCTTAGCAGCTACTTCCGAAAACAACTGCCATTCCATCCTCTGGCAGGGAAGTTTCTCCTCCTGGTATAACTTCCTGGGCTTTGTGTTGTTTGCTAAATATATTGCAATACACCATATTTGTTTGGGCTGCTTAGGAACTCCACTGACAAATCCTGGTTTTGCATCAAGAAGCAAGTAACCTAGAGAGGCCCGTTTTGTATTTTCTTCCAGTTGCCTCATCCAAAGTCAAGAAGGGATTGGGAAGCTACCAGTGAAGAAAGCCTCGTTGTCACATTGGAAATGGAAGAGTTCTGCACACTGCCTGCAGCCAGAGGCATGGGATGCTGGGAGAGTTTTTTTCCAAGCCACAATCTGGTGCTCATAGCGATTTCAGAGCATTACTGGCAGATGAACTCTGTGCCAGCAGCCGCTTTAAGGAGAACACCCGTTTGCCCTTACTGCGCAGTTTCTTCTGCCACTCCATCTCGTTGTGGAGGAAGGACGACTGGTCGAAGAAGTCACTGACTTTGCTGCCCTGGTCATCTTGTTCCGTAGTGGTGAACAGCCGGTATTTGGTCTCCCGGGTAAGGAATTCACAGATGTTGGGCACTGGGAAGATGATCTGCTCCATGCTCCGGTCCAGACGCACAATCTGCATAGAGCAGGCAAAAAGACCGGGGTGCTATCAGGGCCCATCTGCACCACACATATGTCATGTAGCCAGGAACTAGCCCCACTCTGCCTGGGTGAAGGTTCTATAAGCTGTCACTCATTCTAAGCCACACCCACAGATCAATCCACCTAACACAAGGGTGGGCAATCATTTTTTATGCGGGGGGTGAGGGGGGAAGCCACTCCAAGAATTTGGAAAGTGGTCGAGGGCCGCACTCTTCCAGATTTTAATGGAGAAGGTGCAGGGTCTATGATGGAGGTTGGGTGCAGAAGGGAGCTTGGGGCAAGGGAGGGAGTTTGGGTGATGGATGCAGTTGTGGTTTGGGCACTGGACTGGAGTGGAGGGGGTTGGAATGTGACCTAGGGCAGGGAATTGGGGTACAGGAGGGGGTGCAGAGATGTGGGTTGTGAGCTAGGGCAGGAGGGGACTGATCTGGGGCAGGGGTTTGGGGTGCCAGATCTGGGCATGGAAATGAGTACAGTTGGAGGGCAGAGGGTTGGGGAGGGAAGGGACTGGGATGCCAGATGCAGGCTCTGCTAGGAAACTTACCAGCCAGCAGCAGTTCCTGAATCAGCCTCCCTGCCTGCCCCGCCCCTACCCAGGCTGCAGCCATGTGCTCTGGAGCCCTTTGTGCTTCATGGCTGGCTGTTATTTGAAACAGGCAGCTCTCATTGGCCAGTTTCTGGCTAAAAACTGGCCAATGGGATTGTGCCTTAGGATGGGAGCAGCTCCTAAAGCTTCCCCCTCCCCTTCAGACTCACAGTTTTTAAAGAAAAACCACCCCACAGCTGCGTTTCTGAGCAGCATGCGGGTGGGGCAAGGCAAGCAGGGAGCATGCCTGGGGCTCTCCGCAGCATCCGTGGGCCAGATCTGGTGGCTTGACAGGCCGGATTTGGCCTGCGGGCTCTATTTTGCCCAGGCCTGACCACACACGGCTTGTGCGCTGGGAATCTGCCAGCACTAGTGAGATGTGCTGCTGGAGACCCAACAGACAAGAAAGGCGTCATGAAAAAGCAGCTGGGCACCCCTGGAGAGAATGCTCATGCCGCTGATGCAGTTTTCTCGGGGCAATTTGTTCCGAGGAAGCTCCTAGCTTCTTAAGCATGAGCTTGTATCTTCAGGGCACAACAAGGATGAGGTCTGCCTATGAACTGTAGTCCCTGGGAGGTGATATTCATGGACCTACGGTAGCCTCCAGGGAATGGCAATCCCCCGACCAACAAGTCCTACCTCAATTTGGGAGGTGTGCCTCTCGTAATAGGCCAGCGGGTCCTCCTCTTCCTCCTGAACGGGAGCCGTCGATTTCAGCATCTGAGTCAGCTGCTTGTTGTGTAAGCTGAGCTGGAGTAGATGGGAGAATAAAGCAGGTGTCTTCAGCTGGGGAGATGCTGTTCTAACTGTGCATGATCAGCGCTTCCTCGCTATTTACCAAAAGCACCCAAATGAAAGCTTTAGAAAGGGCCACTGTTCCTCCCCCACCCCTAGGGAATGATAGTTCAGCTCCCTATAGTAATTACATCCCTAAAGGGCATTAATCCCTAAAATCCCCCAATGATCAATGCCCATAATGCCCAAGGGAACCTGCATTACAGCTGAGTAGCATTTGGGAGCCGAGACAAGGCCACACAAAGCAGGAAAATGACAGCAAAGGGATCAACCCTCCGACCTCCAGCGGAAGGGCCAAGTGGGAATTGGACACCACCAGGGAAGCTTAACCCCATCAGCACTGATAGGAGCAAGCCTTCTAGTGCTTGTAGACCAGGCAAACCCCATCGGAGGTCTGAATTTTGTATCCCCAGGGGAATAGTTAAAAGCTCAAGGACTGAATGATGGAAACAGAGCAGCTAAGCAATCGCTGCTTCACCAGGCCTAGAGTGTGGTTTCTTAGCAACCCACTGCCATTGAGGAGACCCTGCATTCGCTCTGAGGCGCTCTCATACCATAGAGGAGATGCCCTCCTCCTCCTCCTCTTGGATTCGCTTCACTGGTTTCAGGAGGTGCTGCAGCTGCTTGTTATGCCGAGACAGCTGGAAAGAGAGGGAGGGGCAGCAAGGAGTTAACAGGAGCATGAGACAGGCCCAGCAGGGCAGAACCTACTGTGAACATGTGAGGATCCCTCGCTAGCCATGTAAGAGCCGTGTAAGGATGAGACATGCCTGGGCCTACTACCGCCAAGGACATTGACTTCTCTGGGAATCAGGATTTAGCTCTTATACACGCAGAGACAGAACAGCATCTGCAGAGACACTAGCTAGGATCAAACAATCCCCATTCTTCAGGGAATCGGCTGAATCAACTGGGTCAGGAAGGATTTCAGCCCTTGGTAATATACGACTGGCCAGTTCGTGTGGCGGTTCCGCCTTCTGCTGAAGCACCGAGGCTCAGTCACTGGATTCCAAACCAGAGGGGCTATTGTTCTGTCCGAGGGCAGCCGGACTTGTTGGGACATCCGCAGAATAGTGCAGAATGGGGCCCATTGGTACAAGTGGGTGAGATGCCATTGACATCCTTCATGGGGGACAGTCTTACATCAGCAGTGACATGAACCTGTGCTGTGCCAGGACACACTGATGTAGTTACGAATGGCTGGAACCCTCGAAGGTGTCAGCGAGGGACCAAGCAAAGAAGGGGGTTACGGAGGGTCAGGACTCTAAAGAGCCTAATTTCCTTTCACTAGGCCACCAGCAAGTCTTCTACTTCTGGATCTAGCCTAGAACTTCACAGGTATCCCTGGGTCTTTCTAGGCTTGTCTTGAGAAAGCATTTAAATAAATATGGACAGGGGCAGGGGAGGGGGGACAGGGAGCCTGGAAACCCTATCTCATGTTAACCAGTGAACAAAGGTGACCCCCACATGGGTCGGAGAAGCTGGTGGAACCCAGCCTGAGAAAGGAGAGGCTCCTGCACAGGGAGCCCTGTGATAGAGACGCAGCCAAAAAGACGGTACCTGTAAGGCCAAGATATAGATGTTGTGCCCGACTTCCCGGGGGGAAACCTCAGAGTTCTCACACTCTTCCTCCTCGAGGTAGGCTTTTTTAATGACATCAACCTGTAATGGCAACATTAAGCGCACGACCATTCAGCTGTGCACCTCACCAGCCAGCAACCTGGCTAAGGTTTTGCATTGGGAACACTTGCAGCATAGCATTTTGTTTCTCTTCCCTGCCCCGTTTGTTTTTAACCCTAAGCATGAACAGCTCCAGAGACCACCACAGAGGGTGTGTGTGTAACTGACGTCAGTTGTGGGAGTGGAAGTGGTGCTGGTGAGGAAGGCAGCGAACCCATGAGGAAGGCTAGCCTAGTGGTAGAGACTTGGTTCAGTTCCCTGATCTGCCACAGACTCCCTCTGGGATCCTGGTCATGCCACTTCATTTTGTTGTACCTCAGTTTCCCCACCTGTACACTAGTGCCCTACCTCACTGGGAGGCTGTGAAGACACATACACCAAAGACAGAGATGTGTTCAGATAGTATGGGAATGGAGGCCAGATAAGCTACCTTGGATAGATAGCACGGCACTGAAACCAGCTGCACCTGTGTATCTGATTCCACACACCTCACAGCCCTGGCAAAGGGCACCAACAGCAAGGGTGAGAAGGATGGGGAGGTAGATCCATCCTAGTATCACGTCTGCCTGTAATTTTAGGTCTGTAGACGTGATTCAGACCTCTGCCTGTCCCCCCTCCCCTGTTGCTGACATGCAAAGTCCTGCATGTCTCTCAAAGGCAGCCTAGCCCCTCCCTGCTCGCCCACCCTTACCAGTTCCTGGCAAAGGGCACCAACAGCAAGGGTGAGAAGGATGGGGAGGTAGATCCATCCTAGTATCACGTCTGCCTGTAATTTTAGGTCTGTAGACGTGATTCAGACCTCTGCCTGTCCCCCCTCCCCTGTTGCTGACATGCAAAGTCCTGCATGTCTCTCAAAGGCAGCCTAGCCCCTCCCTGCTCGCCCACCCTTACCAGTTCCTGAGGCCGGAGGCTGATGAGGATCCGCTCGGGCTTCTCACTGTCGC